CCATTAATTAAAGAGGCCTGTCAGCCTCCACCTTATAATTCCTTATCAGTGGATAACTTCCTCCCCCCCCTCCCTATTCCCTTTCACGCCCACTTCCATCTACGTGGATAGTTTCCTTTCTCCCACCCATCAACTCCATAAGCTCCTATCCTGAGTAGCAGATGGCCTAATTAAGTTCTCCCCTTTTCATTCGTTTGGATTGCCTCGCATATCTCATCGCCCATTTCAGCTATATCCATCCCCTTCCCATCCCATGACCCTAGGGATTAGGCTATAATAAAAGAGGGAACACACACACACACACACACACACACACACACATACACACACACACACACACAAAGTAGCGTTCTTGTGGGGGACTGGACTTGACCTTGACCTTTTTAAACACGTATGTTTAGCTCTCATTCATTGGTCCATCCAGACACACCTCTTTAGTTTGACACAAATGCAAATGCCAGTTCACAAGGGAGTACGGAGCGGCTGCAGTTTATAACAATGGAAAGCTGAAGCCACCTAGATCTAGATCTAAGTCATTTTGTCGTTGCGTGCAATAGTTGATACGTGATCTTAAAAAGTCACATCTGAATGTGTTAAATTCAATTATTCTAGAATATCTAGATCTAGATTCTAGGTTTAAAACCGGTCTTAACATAGGCCTAACCCCATCCTTCTTTCGGTGAACAAGGTTTGTGGAGCATGCGCACTGAGGACAACAAAGGCACGTTTCCGTGTTACCAAAAATAGCTTGTTTATGTGAGGACGCTCATCTCGATCTATACCATCGGACAAGGTAGCCGGTCAGTGATCCGGAGAGGTTAAATTATTTACCGTAAGTGCCCCCAAGTGACTATTTACGAGCCATGGCCTTACCGTCGACAGGGTTGAGTGCATTCGCTCGACTTTTGGCTCAGAGTCCGGCTCACTGTTGTAAGAGGAGAACGCTGTTTGGATTGAATGTGAAAATAAATAAGGCCGGTGGTGCTTGGAAACAGCGTTGTTGCTCCTACAGTATTTTGTTGAGTCGAGCATCGGTGTGTTGTTCTACACAGAAAGGAAACATGTCGGTTTCACATCAAAATTCGCAATCAAAAATCGATGGAAAGAAATCGATGTGTCCTAACTCTACTCGTTCAACGCACACTGGAATCCCTGGAGATGACTTCTTGTTCAGACAGGTAGGTCTACTCAAAAACTTTAAAAGACAGAATGAATACCGGTACTCACCCGGTACTCGGCCATAGATAGGACTGGTGACGATAATATAACTGATAGAATTCTAAATTTAGATCTAGAATCTAGTCTTGCCTACAAGATACACAAAACCTTAAACATGGGCATGGTTGGCTTAGTTTAGAGTAGAGGAAGGGGGCTCTCGTGGCCTAGAGATCAAAGCGTTCGCCTCATTCAATAGGTCACAGGTTCCAATCTGGATAGCATCGGGAAAATTTTCTTCTCTGAGATGAGATTTTTCTCCTTTCAAATCACACCCTTTCCTACTCTCTAATTAACAATGTTCTGTCGTCTCCTTTCGCCTCCGCACTTTCTGCCCCCGCCCCCTCACCTCCTTTGCCCCCTGCTCTGGGCTCTGACTCTTTCTGCTGCCTTAAATATAAATTCTATTGCTACTCCTTGGCTCTAATTGCTGTCTTTCAGCCAAACCCCTGATCTTCACCTAGATCTAGATCTAGCATATTATTGGACACGGGCGAAAAATCCTGTGTGCAAGTTGCGCACGTTAAAGATCCCTTGGTGGTCCAAAATTGAGAAGGGCCGCCGTACCTGGGCAAAATTCGAAATTTTTTACCAACTGAAAATGTTTAGTAACTTAAGTATATATGTCCTGCGCGCTCAATATGACTTTATGCCGTTGCGAGCGCCGTAAAACACTTATCCCCCCCCCCCCAAAAAAAAAGTAGAGGAAAGAGTGAGTTTGGGGTGGAGTTTTCAGGTTATTTAGTATTCTGAATGAAAATTATTAGGCCTTTAAATATAAATTATAAATAGGATATTAGGCCTAAACATGATGCTATATTTTTTAGGATGGCATTATCTTCCTGTCTGATGAAATTTGACATTTGTACCCAGCTGACCTGCTCCAGCACATGTTCAACACCTGAGCCTTAAAAGGTCAAAGCGGGTCCCATCAGTTGCCTCCCCTCCCCCCTCAGTCTCCTCCCACCCCCTCCCTCTCCTCCCACCCCCTCCCACCACCCACACACACTAAAAAAGGAGCATGGTTTACAATTAGATAATGATGTAATCATTGTAATGCGTGTAATTAATCTACTCTGGTATTTGGATCCTGTTTTCCTTTTATAGTATAGAGGTGACATTGCATCAACTGTCCAGGAACTAGGTTTGTTTTCCTAAAGTTGCTATAGGAGTGCCTGCTAAAGGTCAAACACGTTGATGGAAGAAAGATCTTTTTGTTCCTATCTCCCCCAAAAGCATTTGTGTCACGACGCGGTGCAATCAGGTGCTCGTCATTGTTTGGGCATGTGGGAGTTATATCTGAAAGCTGATTTATTTGCCTTGCTTCAAGTGAAATAAATTATATCCATCTATCTTGAATATAACTCAAGATATTTGCAAGTGAAGACTTTTCAGTGGTGAAATTAACGAGAAAACAGCCGCTAAAATTCGGTAACTCCAATAGCTAAAAAGTCCTTGAAAACAGGAAAATGACTTATTTTGTGCCTTTAATCAATGATTTTCAATAAAATTTGCATGATTGAAATGTGTTTTTTAAAGGACATAGAGGTTGAGCCAAAAAATTAAAATTTGATAAAAATTTCCAAACTGGTGGAAAAATGCCTATTTCTCCTATTTCTGTATTTTGACGAGCGCCTGATTTCACCATGCTGCCTCACATTTGTTCCACACTATCTGACTATCCTCTGCCAGTAAATTTTGTATGTGACAATGTGAGTGCATGTGGGAGTTTTGTTTGTGTATGTGTGTGTCATGTTGTTTTATTAAATTCTAATGTTTGGTACATGTGTTTATAATGACCAATTTGTGTTGCAAGAGCAGTACTGAGTACAGCTTTCATTTGAAACTAAAACTTACCTCACTGCTAATTTATCACATACACACACAAACACACACGCACGAACACGCACACGCCCGCACACACACACACACACACACACACACACACACACACACACACACACACACTCGCGCACGCACACACACACACACAGACAAAGGCACGCACATACATAATATACACTTATGGGCACGCTCGCACACATACACACAAACACACACGCACACACTCACACACACACAAAGACACGCACGCGCACACGCACGCGCGCGCGCACGCACGCACGCACACACACACACACACACACACACACACACACTCTCACGAGCACACAAACACACATACATCCGTACGCATATCCATACACACAGACACGCACGCTCATACATTATATACGCGCGCGCTCGCACACACACACTCAGACACACACACACACACACACACACACACACACACACACACATATACTCACACAAAACATAGACACGCGCGCTCACACACAGCCAAAGACACGCACACACACACTTAGACAAACACACACTCATACACACACATACACACACAGATAAGCACACACCCAAAGACACGCAAGCACATTCCGTGTAAAGCGAGCCGGGTAGGGTTACAGCACTGGTCATACGACGACGTTGACCTCTTGACCTGACTCACGCTGGGTCAAGGTCTGCCTGGCGGGCATTCAAGGTCACCGATATACGGCTGGCCCCCTACACCTGTGGTTATAGGCCGAAACAGTATTGATGTGGCAGGTGGGAATGGTTTTCACATATAATGTTGTTAGTGAAGTGCTTTAATTGCACTGGCATCGTTTTGTTGCTTTCAAAGAGTGCATGTAGCCTAGACTCTAGCTATTGGGAAAAAACAAAACAAACTTAAACACAAAAAAGAAAGAGATATACCGTCATCTCTTCTCTCACTCTCACCTTGGACCAATTCCATGTAGCATGGTAGTGAGTTGGTCCTCTCCCCTCCCCCCCCCCGGTAAACTAAAAACACCCTCCCTTCTCCCCCCGTCCCCCAGTTGGGTCCACTGTCCTCTGTCCACAAGTTTGTCCCAGTTTTCGACTCTGTGTCCAGTGGCCCTACGACACACGTGATAACAAACTACCGGTCTCCTCCTCGTTCGTCTAAGGTAACCTCACGCGAGAAGATGATCTCCCCCCCACCCCTTTCACCTCAAACCTAATTCACCTCTTTTCTACTTCTTTTCCTCCTTCATACTTCTCTTTGTGGGTGGTTGGCGGGTGCTCTGGTGGGGTTTGCTCCCTCTTTCCTATCAAACATCTATCGCCCTTATCTCCCCTCCTTCTTTTTTATGTTTGCTACTCTCTTGTAACACCTCTAAGTCTAATCTTCTTGCCCTCATATGACCTTATATGCAGTTGGGAGCGCCGTAAAACCTCACTAAATCGAAACTATACTTCTTTTCCCCTTCCATCGTACCTGTCCACTTTCCACTCCAAACTTTATTCCCCTCTACCCCCCCTCCCTCCTCCTTCCTCCCCTTCCTCCTCCCTATCAAACTTCATTCTCCTTCACCCCCCCCCCCCCACCCTCCTTTACCCGTCCTACCTGTGGGTGGTTGGCGGGTGATGTGGTGTGGTTTGCTCCTTCTTTCCTATCAAACTACTATCGTCTTTATCTCTCCTCCCTCTTTTTTATTTGTTACTGTCTTGTAACACCTCTAATCTTCTGCACTTGCACGACCTTATTGATATTGTGTTACAAGTGCAGTAAAACTCTTACTAAAACTTATAACCCC